TATTTTGAGCTTTCATCGAATTATTAACCCGTCGTTATCCGATCGAAGCCGGACTCTTCTTTTTGGCGAAAGCCCTTGGCCTTTAAGGGTGTTATTTCGTGATTTCGTCGAAATATAAACCCGTCGTTATCGATCGATGTCGAACTCTTTCTTTTTGGCGAAGGCCCTTGGCCTTGAAGGGTGTTATTTCGAGCTTTTGTCAAAAAATTAACCCATCGTTATCCGATCGAGGTCGGACTTTTCTTTGTGGCGAAGGCCAATTTCACTATGTCTTTGTTATTACAATCTGTTTATTTGCTCATGTCTTTAAATATATGAGTATGCCCCTGCGTATAGTGAGTGAATCATAAATTTTTTCAAGCTGAAATCGAATAATCTGTCGAAGAGCATATGTTTTTATGCTAATATGAATGTCAATCAAATACTATTAACACGCATCTATAAAATGCACTAGACAATTATCCAGCAAATTAAACAAAAGGAAAAGCAAAAAAAAATACAAGAGAAATAATACGCCATTGCAGTAGACACTCATTCCACCAAAAAGAGTTCAAAAAATCCCATAATTTGAAACAGAAAATATGTTTTTATCTAATCCTTTCTAAAGGATTAGCACATAAATATAATCTCTCCTCCCAAAGCCACCCACCGGCATTTCCAACTTGTACCTCGAAAAAAAATGAATATTTTGCTATAAAGGGTAAAAAGGTAGCTATATATAATATAATTTTTTAAAATAGTAGTTTTTTAAAATAAAAAGGGCATTAAGTTTTTCTATAGGGTGTAAAATTCCTTATAAATTTCCGCAACCCTAAAAGAAAAAGGCGCCTAATTTTTTTCACACTCCCTTCCTTTTTTCCCCAACCTTTTCAGTCCTAGAAACTTCTGCCTTTCACACTTCCGACTAATAGACTCTCTCTCTCTTTCTGTAGGAAACCGCAATCTCTTCAAATTGAAATTCTCTCTCTACAGGTATTTTGATTTTGGATGTATTGTTTAAGTTCTCTATCTACAGTACACATTTCACCCATTTGATGAACAAGATATTTGTTTCAGCCATTGTGGTATTTTAGGAACAGATATTTTTTACCAGTTGAAATCAATTCACGTTGGTTGTGGGATTAACAGGAGGTTTAAGCTTTCTACCACTGTTTGTTCCCAATTACTACTTCTTATGTTAGATGCTTTTGATTTGTACCAGATTTTTCTTTCTTCATTGTTAAATTGAAGTATTTTTTTTAATAGTTGTGGAAATTTTCGAAAATTTATATGCACTTAGAAAACGTATTACTTTTTTGCTTGTTCCTTCACTGAATATTGGTTAACTTTGCTGAAAGTTCTAGAGTTTGAAGTCTGTAATTTTTTTCTTAATCAGTTTGCATTTTTTTTCTTTACTTTTTGGAGTTTTGAACATTAATATTATCCTACAAAAATCTAAAACCAACATTTATTATTTAGAGTTTGATATTAATATTACCCTGTTTGTCTAGGTAATAATACTTTAAAGTTGGCCAGCTCCTTTTACTGTTTAGGGTTTATTTTTTATTTTTTTAATTTTGTTATAAATAGAATTTATTTTTTTATGGTGAATGTCTATATTTAGAGAGATTCTAGGGTTATTACTTGGTGGCTAAGTCACTCTCTCCTTATAAAATAGAAGAGGTTTATTTCATTGTAATTTATCCCAAAATTCAATAAGAATTCTCTCCCTCTACTTTTCTCTGCCAATACTCTTCTTCTTCTTTTATTGTTTTATTAACACGTTATCAGCATGAGGACTCTAACCAATTGAGTAGAAACTTTGGGATTGGAGCATAATGATTGTCAATTGTTCTATGAACTTCTTTCATGATAAATTCTGGATTTTAAGGTAAGTTATTTTACTTTTTCTCTTTCAAATTCTTGACATTATATAATTTGATTTTAAACACAAGCAAAGACGATAAATTTTGATTGCAATCTAATGGAGTTTGAAAGAAATTATAACCACCCAAAGTGGTAAAATTTCTTATGCTTGCCATGATCAAATTCATGTATGATTGTGGGCACAGAATTGAAAAACCCGTCCAATTGAATTTGCTCCATTCTCATTCCCTTTAGAGAATGTGATAGCAGTATGTGATAAGTCTGAAAGAAGACAAAATTACTACTATGAATGTATCAATGGACGTGGACGTGATAATAGACGAAATTATAATCGTCATTATTGTGATATTGAGAATAATAAGGATTCTCAAAATAATCCTTCACTCTGTGAAAGTAATATTTTGTCATCGATTTGACATGAGATTTTTATAAGCACATATAGATGATTATGGTCCATTCATGATGTGAATGTGACAATATCTAATTTATGAATACATATTCATTCTTGTGAAGAATATGAACGTGCTAGTGGTAGTGAATATACCACACTCACCTCTAGATGGAGGTTTGAGATGAAATAAGAAATACTGTCATTATTATGGCATTGAATGATCACTAGTCACGTACTTATTGTACGCCAAAATATTATGGCAATGTTGATTATTAAAAGGCAATGGTAATGCATAGAAACAGATCTTGCATATAATTTGACCACGATCACAATGGTTATAACTTTTTCTTCAAAAGAGATATTCATCACATGGATGTTTGATGAATCGTGTGTAGTTAAAATTAATTGAGAGCTCTGGAAGAGCCAATTATTACTATTTGTGGAGGAATACAATTGATATCATGTCAATTTATTGTGTTGTAGTAACTCTCAAAGAAACTTATTCAGTTTCCAAAGTATACGCGAAAGCGATTGATTATATTTGAGACTATAAATAAAGGAAAGATTTAATATCTTCTATTACTACAACTTGTAGCTGGGTAATATGTATTGTGAAAGCTACCCGCTTTATTCTTAGTTTATACTACACAAACAAAAGAAGCCACCAATAAAGTTTGAAAATTTTTATTGATATAAAAACCAATCATATAAACTTGGAGTTTATTCCATCAATTGCACCAATCATGGGTGTAAACCTGAAGTTTATCAATATTGATAATTTATTCAGTTGACATAGTTGGTTTACCCATATCAATTTAAGTATGATGTGCAAAATAAAAGAGAATTCACATGGGTAAATATTAAAGAACTAGGAAAGTTCTTA